GTGTTGCATTGAAAAATATATATATTTTTTATTCTTGTCAGAGAGAAAGGAGAGGAAGAGAGAGAGAGAGAGAGAAACATCAATGATGAGAGGGAATCATGGATCGGCTGCCTCCTGCACACCCCACACTGGGGATCGAGCCTGCAACCCGGGCATGTGCCCTCACCAGGAATTGAACTGTGACCTCCTGGTTCAAAGGTCGGCGCTCAACTACTGAGCCACCCAGCCGGGCGAGTGTTGCATTTTTAAAAAGTATGTCTGCGTTTCTGTATGGAGATTCATATCTTGCACATACAGACACAAAACAATGACAGAAACTTCCACAAATGTTAGCAGGGACTTTCCCTGGGTGAGAAGACTCTGGGATATTTTCCAATGTCCTTCTCTATATTTTTCTGGGTTTTTACATGCTTCTCAATGAGTATTTCATCAACATGAACCAACTAAGGAGGACTGTTCTTTTTCTCCCCATCACCACTTACCTTCCTTATCCCCTCTTCTGCCTCCACCCCCCCCCCATTACCACTCTGTTATCAGTGTCAGTGAGTTGTTTTCTCTCTTTTTTCTTTTTTCTCAATCCCTCCATCCCACCCCACCCCCGGCACCCAGTCCTCCCCCAACAGCTGTCTGCCTGCTCTCTGAGTCTGTCTCTATTTTGTGAGTTCACTTTGTTCATCAGATTCCAGATGAGTGAGGTCACATGGTACTTGTCTTTCTCTGACTGGCCCTGGGCAATCTGTTTGGAGCTATCGGTGATCCATGGTTTTTGGCTGCCTCAGCTGGGCCTGGGTGTGTGTGGAAAGGACCAAGCTGCCCCTGGTGCTTTTACCAGCACCAGGCCCTTGGGGGCAGGTCAGCAAAATTTCCCATCACCCGAGATCAGCTCTGCCTGCAGGCTGTCTGTTCGGCTCAGTCACTGAAAGAGCTGCTGGCTATACTCCTCAGCAGGGCCTGAGTGCTGCAGGGTGGGGCGAGAGGGATTCCAGAGGGTGGGTTTACTCCTCCCCTCTCCCCCTCGGCTGATGTGGTACAAAGGGGAGTGCACCACCCAAGAAAGATGACTTCTGAGAAATGGGGAAATGACTCAGCGAAGGGATCCTGGTGGCTGACCCTTTAGCTCTCTCCCCAGAGCCACCAACCCCAGAATCTCCGCATGCGGTTCTAGTTCGCTCTGCCCTCCCTCCAATGGAGCCTGGGGTGAGTGGCTGCGAATGAAATTTTGTGTTGGGCCTGTATGAGGATGCCCGTGTCCCCAGCCATCTCTCCTGGCCGTCAGAAACCCCGTTGCTTTACACAGCCAGATGCTAAGTGGGCACCTATTCCCGGCTCCCACACTTCTCAGGGGAAACCCCTCATAGCTGAGATATCCCTCTGGAACCTCAGCAGCTGCCTCTGGGAGCAGGGCCAGCCCTCTCGCCCTCCGCACGTCCTACCAGTCTCCCTGTGGCTTCTTCTGTAAGTCCTCGGTTATAAGGCTTCTCTTCACGAGTCTCCATTTGGCTATTCAGGATGATTTTTCTGTAATTTAGTTGTGATTCCAGTTTGGTCCCGGGAGGAGTCAGTGTAGCTCCCACCCGATCCATGCCGTCTTGGACCTCCACACGGTACTTTGACAGAGATGACCTTCCGGCCGTGGGCCTGCGCTCATCGGCTGGTGGCAGTTGGTGGTGGTTCATGCTCCTGCCACGTTTCTGCTTGTGTTTGTGGGAAGTAGGGTCTCCAGCATCTCCTGCTTTCTCACACGGCACCTGGGATCCCCAGGCTCGTATCAGAGCCGCACAGACAGTTCCTGGGCCCAGGGTTGGTGCTGCCTCCTCGCTCCTGAAAACTCCTAACGAGAGTGAGTGACAGGGTGCTGCCTGCCGGGACCAAGAACTGTTCTTTTTTTAAAGATTTTTTTATTGCTTTTTAGAGAAAGAAGAAGGGAGAGAAAGGTCAATGTGAAAGTGAAACATTAGCCCTGACTGGTTTGGCTCAGTGGATAGAGCTTCAGCCTGCGGACTGAGGGGTCCCAGGTTCGATTCCGGTCAAGGGCATGTACCTTGGTTGCGGGCACATCCCCAGTGGGAGGTGTGCAGGAGGCGGCTGATCGATGTTTCTCTCTCATTGATGTTTCTAACTATCTCTCTCCCTTCCTTTCTGTAAAAAATCAATAGAATATATTTTAAAAAAAGAAAAAAAAAAGAAAGGGAAACATCAATCGGCTGCCTCCTGCATGCCCCCAACTGGGGACAGAGCTCAAAACCCAGGCACGTGTCCTGACGGGCAACACTTTCGGCACAGGACGACGCCCACCACTGAGCCACAGAGGCCAGGGCTGTGTTTTTGTTTCTTTTCTGAAGAACAGGAATCGGGGTATTTTTCAATGTCCCTCCTTATGTGTTTCTGAGTTTTACATGTTCCTCAATGAGTATTTCACAACAAAGACAAAACGAACTGAGGCAAGGACTTGGTTTGTGTTTAAGAGACAAAAATTCAGCTGTTCCTGAAACTGGATTATTCGAGTCGTTCTAGCAAATCCCAGTTACCAGAAACGCTCCGTGCTCCCTTTCCAGTCAGACATCTGGACACGGGTGTCCTGCCAGCATTTTCCAAGCCAGGGGCGGAGCCCTCTGCAGGATAAGTGAGCACCAGCGCCCGCGGCTGCACCACGCACGGCACTCAGCTCTCCGAGGCAGGTAATCCACGGCACCGAGCTACTGGGCGCCAGGGAACCCACTTCCCCGGGTGGTTCTAGGCTCGGCCTGGAGCCGTGGACTGTGTGCAGGAGGGGCCAGGAGGAGTGTGGAAGCGCTGGGTGGGCCTGGCTGCTGAGGACAGGCCTCTGTCTGGGCCTGAGCTGGACACCTGCAAAGGGGTGGATGCGCCATGAGGGGTCTAGAGTCACTTCTGCCCCTGGCACTGGGCTTCTGCTTGGAGTCAGCTGTGCCTCCCACAGAGCTGTGCATCCTCCCCCGATGAGGACTCCCCAAGGGGCCCGGGGTGCCCCCCTCGCCTGGTGCAGGGGCAGCTCTCAAGGTGGTGCAGACAGAACGATTGCAATGCACCCTGGGCAGAGGCCACAGGGACTCCATGGGGGCTGTCCCTGGGCACCAGCCATTCACCCACCTCCCACCCCACCTCCAGCCAAAGCAGACAGGCAGGCTGCTTAGAGACAGGGCTGGCCGCCAACTCACCCAAACAGTAAGCCTTTTTTCTCCAGAAGCAATGTTTTTGGGGAAAAGTTCAACTATATTTCAAAGAAATGGTTACATAAGCAGAGAGTACACAGGGGGCAATTGAACTGTCTCTGTTCCGGGCTTGTCCAAAGGTGATGCCACTGTTTGGGATGGTCATCAGCTCAGCTCTGTCTCCCCCACTCTCCCCCTTCCTTCTCCTCCTCTTCTTCCTCCTCCTCCTCTTCCTCCTCTTGCCCTCTCTGCCACCAGCCCAGCTGCCCTGTCCCCTCGGGGCTCAGGGCTGAGTGGGCGGAGGAAGGTGATTGGCTCTGTTTGCTGCAGCAACTGGCTCTGAAATCTGTGTCTCTCTGTTTCCCCTTATTATTATTCTCCTAATATGTTTTTATTGATTTCAGAGAGGAAGGGAGAGGGAGAGACCGATGGAAACATCAGTGAGGAGAGAGGATCATGGGTCGCTGCCTCTTTTTTTTTTTTTTTAATATATTTTATTGATTTTTTCACAGAGAGGAAGGGAGAGGGATAGAGAGTTAGAAACATCGATGAGAGAGAAACATTGATCAGCTGCCTCCTGCACACC